AAAACATCAACCTCTGATGCATCTCTCACTTCTGTGCATTTTTACTTCGAGACCTTTACACAGTAAACATCGATTGAGAAAAAACACAGAAGCCCTTAAATATAGTACAATAGAGGTTCTAACTGATTTGACCTATCTGTTCATTTGTGTGTTCGAATGGCTTGAAATAGGTCTGGAAATACCAATCAAGTAAATCGGCATCGTACTAGCATTTGTGCCGTTTCCGCAGATTTCTTCAGTCTTGTGCGATGATATATTCAACATGGACATTGGTCATTATTAGTTTAGACACGTGGATATGAACACAATTCTCGTATAAACCATTGGCAATATGTAAATCTAAAACAGGATGGACCGCATGCGCAGCATTACTGGTCATTGCAACTCTTTTAAACGTTCATTTGTTAACTCCAGATCAGTTCGCCTCATTCACAGAATATTAGATTGGCTCTAATAAGGAACTGATCCTAGCGATAATGTCTACGGTATACATTCTCTAAAAATTCAACCGTGAATGTTTTCTTCACATACGACAAGCGTTACCTTATTGGTAATATTCACACCCGAACCATAAAACATCAACCGTTCTCACTTTTATTTTGAGATCAAGCGCCAGTTAAAAGTCAAACCCTAATTGAGAAGTACATGGGAGAACTTAGAGAAGTCTGACGTTGAAGCTGTTTTAGAAATAACAATCAAAATGTTTCTAAAAGTTCGAAAAACTGTTAGCATAGTTTCTATGACAATTAGAGAACATGTTTACAAATAAAATTGCTCTGTACTTATGCTAAGCTCAATCAACCAGATGGTGTTAGGAAAAAACCCTTTTGATTTTCACCAAAGCTAGAAAACCCTTCGAACCTTTCTACAGAACATTTTTTAGTTTTTTTGGTCAAATAGAAAATCCCTTTTTGATTTTAAATCTCCCTTTTTCGGTTTAGGAAAAGTTTTCTAGTGAATGTTTTGGTATTAAACTCTTTTGGGTTTAGAACTGTTCGTTCTCAATCGATGTTTACTGTGTAAAGGTCTCGAAGTAAAAATGCACAGAAGTGAGAGATGCATCAGAGGTTGATGTTTTTTACAACAATTGTGAATATCCTCGGTGTAAGATCGCTTTGCTGTTAGTAACTTTCAGGATGTAACAAAGATCAGTTCGATCCTGTTTGAGGCACAGAGGACTGTTACTAGATTATTGTAGAGAATTCTATCGCACGAAATTTTAGTTGTTCTAGTGAACAAACAAAATAAATGAAAACTTTGTTACGTGTGGTTCCGAATGACACCATTCAATTACACCTGTTACATACTCAAGCTGAAAAATGAGTGTGTTCTTGTAAAAAGCAAGCCAAGGATTTTTCTTTCGATAAATCTAGAATAACATAGTCATCGGTGTGTGAAAATGCAATGCTGTCAAATTAAAGTCTTAAAATACAGTATTCAGAGTGATGCTTTTAGTCATATTCTACATTCATTTAACAAGCGAATAGAACATGTTGTTTCATCTTTTAACACTGTAAGGACAAGCTGTTTAAAGCGATAATTATCAATAATATTTTTTCTCATACTAGGACGCTGACTGCTGTATTTGTTGGATCATTAATCATTATACCAACTGAAGAAAAGTAAGAATGTTCGCTCTTTCGACTCTCTTGTGATAGTAACCTTTACATTTTAGTAAATGTCCAACAAATGAAGTAAGCTATCGTAACCATTGTTATTACTTAGATGGTTCGGGTGGTAAATGTGCTAAAAATTATTCACGTGCTGCAGAATCAATATTAGGTGCTGCTGCAAAATTATTTGCAGGGAAAAATTATAAGCATACTGTTTCGGATAATTGTTGTATATGGACAAGTGCGGCAACAGAAAATTATGGTATGAGTCCCAATGATTGTAACAGTGAAGGTCCTTTTACTGTTGGACCAGTTAAAGGTGCAGACTTGTGTACAAATGTTGTTTTACATAATCCAAAGCAATTAACATTTTGTGGTAGCCATTAAACAGAATTGTTAGAATCGTTGTGTTTTTCAGATCAAACGATATAGTTCACGGCCATCGTTTTTTTTCTTGTGATGCCGCACTGAATTTCTTTTTGTAGGATAGCGCTTTTCTGTATCATTGACTGACCTCGATTCTTTTGTTTTATGCAAGATACTCGCTAATTTTTGACATACTATAGTGGAGACCTTGTAGACATTGTAGAGAAAATGATGGGGTGTTTTGATGAAATTGTATCTCAGTTCGAAATCTGTAATAAACCTCTATGAATTTCCAGCATAACTAAAACGCATCACTGAGAAAAAACATTGCTTAAAATCAAAATATCTAGTTTGAACGCACTTTTGTGTAGAAATAATTTCTTCACTGTTGAAAAGATTATTTTTCGGAAATAGCAAAAATTGATATACGTCAAGAAAAATATTTTTCCGATAGAAAAAAAGTGTTTCTAGTGCTTGTTTACATATGATTAGATGCACCAACAAATTCTCTATCGAATGCACTACTGATCCTATCTAACACTTCATTTTGAAAACGACATTCTAATATTACTTCAGGTAACAAATGCTTTTGGAGAACAGAGAATCTCAAAAAAATTAACTTTCACCCTTAACAACATCGTAATACAATAAGATATTTTGAGGGAAACTGCCAGAAGCCTAGATGAACAGAACTATTTAAAAGCAGTCTCAAAACGTTTGGGCAGAACCGTTCAAAGCATTATGACAACGAAAAGTTTTGATAAACCTTAAATTTCGGTATTTTCAATTTTTCACGCGTTCTGGTCACTCGTCTTTGACGTCTGAGACCATTAGATGTCTATGTGGATTCAATTTCAACATACTATGGTGGAGACCTTGTAGACGTTATAGAGAAAATAACGGAGTGTTTTAGTGAAATTGTATCTCAGTCCGAAATCTGTAATAAACCTCTATGAATTTTTAGCATCACTAAAACGCATCACCGAGAAAAAACATTGCTTAAAATCAAAATATCTAGTTTGAACGAACTTTTGTGCAGAAATAATCGTATTTCCATTTATTTGGGATAGCGTAGTCGGTAATGTGGCAGACAACAATGTCGGATTACTACGTAATGGAGAAAAATAAAGGAATAAGCGGCACAAAAGGAAGTATATGATTCTATCTTGCAGCGTTTCTCTCCTATCTATCTTTATAAAATTGCCACTGAAAGGACTAGTTGCGATAAGGCCATTTTGTTATTACAGTATTTTCAAAAAATAATTGTATATTCGGAGTCAGCATCGACATCTATGTAAAATAACGTACTTTTTTCTGACCGAAAAAAGATTTTCATTTTTTTGAAAACTTTTCGTCCCTAGGACTTTGGAACATCGAAAAGGGGTTTTCTCGATTCATTTGAGTTATAGATCATTCGATGCAGAATTTAAGGCTGATTACGAATATCAGGTTGGTTTTGCTTCGAAACTTCAAGGGAAATAGAAAACGGCTGTTTTGGTAGGAGATATTTTTAAGCGAAGTAGGATTATGGTCTTCAACCGACCTAAAAACTGAGCCTGAACGCTTAAACATACTTCGACATATGCAGCAACGTTTTCTCTGTCTAAATCACGTAAAATCAGACGTTTAAAACCAAGTTTCGATTAAGTTGTCCTCTTTCAAATATTATGATTAGAATGACTGAAACAAGACAGGTAGAAACACATTTTATTTTAGATTATGATGCTGAAGTAGAACGACTAAAGACATTTTCGAAAGTTTTGGCTGAAACAGTAAACCAGGTGGACAGATCTTCGACAAAATTCTCTCTTTTTCAAATTCATTTTCCCCTTCTTTTCCTCCTCTTCCATTCTGGTTTCCATGTAATGCCAAAATGCCAGATTCATCATGAACATAAAGCTAAAGCCATCAGCTGAATCATTTGTATTCTCACATCTGTTTATTTATTTCACCGGACACTGTAACTCCACCCGTAACGAAAGTACGAAAGTACGCGCCCCCCCATACCCCCCAAAATTCAGGTCTCTGTCTCTGAGTGGAACTATATACTTACCTTCTAATCTTGTCACTCTTTCACCTTTACTATTTTCAATTTTTTACGCGTTCTGGTCGCTCGTCTTTGACGTCTGAGACCATGTTTGTGATTGCCAGGTCGAAATCTATCAGAAAATATGATTGGTAATCATACTGAATTCATAATTCATGGTGTGGTGATAGCTGACCCCAAAAGGGTCAAATTTTGCTCGTCATCGGTGATTTTTATTGCAACAATGATTTCAAACACTTTCAAGTATCGAGGACTGTGCATGTTTATCCGGAAGATCGGCTACAGACAATTTTCTGTGTATGCCTTTCCGTTGCTAAAAAGGTTGATTTTTTGCCAATCGGAGGTTGGATCAGAACTAAAAATGATTCTCAACCAAAGTACACTAGAATCAGGTTTGTATAATTAGTTTTGATTAGGCCCACCAATTAAATTTTTGCTCAAATTTTATCTTAATTAATTTATAACTCTGTGAATACTTATCGATTCTTCGAAAACAATGCAGAGTATATGCAATCAAATATTTTCTATAATCTGAGAAGGTTTAATAGTACCTTTTTGTGGGGGTCTTCTCGACAGTGCAGTTGTTAGTGCTTCTCGATTATTATTATCCGATGGCAGGCGCAAATTCAGGTTGAGGTACATTTTTTCTTCTGCTTGTTCAACAAAAGGTTGTAGAAGTGAAAAATCACAGCTTATTCTATCGATCAAACTCCATTACTCCTTTAAAATTTTAGTATTTTGGTATGTATCGTTGGAAAGTTTTCTGTTATCGCCAAATAAAAGAAGGTTCTGGAAATTACAAAGATTGTTTAGACACTATTAGTTAATCTCAGTGAAGATGAATTGAAAAGAAAGGTTTCAAAAGAAATAGTTTACTGCTTTCTGATGAAAGTCGAATTAACTTTCTTGCTAACAATGTCCCATTTAAAAGTAGAATGGGGTCTTTTTATTATACGAAGTTAGATAAATTGTAATGCTAATATTTCATGAATATTTAATTCTAATCATAGTTACGCCATGAAACAAAACATAGTGTTGAATATGGCCAATAGAATAAATATATGTAATCATTATAAATATAACAAAATCGATCTAACCCTTCTTAAACAGCTGTTAGAAAATAGTAGTTTTCCGAAGAGAATATTTAGTAAAAGTTTTCATAAAATTAAGATACGGGAAAATAAATTTCAAAACGAAGAAGAGGACAAAAACACCCGAGACAGTATAATTGGAATTCCTCATAGATATTTATTAACTGAAAAATTGCGAGCACAAGTAGCTAAATTCAATATTAGAATTTATACCGTAATATTGGGTCAGTGTTAAATAAAGCAAGAAAAATTGCACAGAATGTAGTACAAGATGAGAATGTTTTAGATAAACGAGGAGAGAACGTAGTATATGGTATACCCTGTATGTGCGCTGACATGTATGTGGGTGAGACATGCAGTTTTAAACGAAGGATAAAAGAACATTTTAAGAAAGTGTTACAAAGAGATGCGAAGGGCTCAGAATTGGCACAGCATCACGAAAATGGTACCGCATGTTTCACAGATTTTGAAAACAGTATGATTTTTGATAAAGAAAAGAACTGGAATAGAAGAAAAACACTAGAG